AATTTTACGAGTGGAATACGTGATCTTAGCTAATAGAGTATGGTAGTGGAGTACGTGATCCTTCACGCGACTTCATTTAGATTACTTTACGATTACGTGTTGTTTCTAGTTGCCCTATGCCTATATGCAGCGATATTATCAATTCCATAGTAAATTTCCAAAGAGCATGAGATTAATGACCATCGCTTTTGTCTGAAGTAAGAAATCGCAACAAAAGGAGCTTGTAAATCATTTGTTATTTGACCGGAACGAGAGTTGATCAGTGGAAGAAGTCCTTAGAAGTGGTGGTGAGCTCGATGGTGCTGTTAACGAGCGTAATTTTGATCGTTTACTTGGAGCAATGATACGTTGAATGGCAATCAATAGATATTGATAATCTTGTTTCCGCTAGATCGCTAGATTGATCGATGACAACTTGTGAGATCTGGCGATGGAAATCGGAGATAGGAATCAGCGTAAAGAGAAGTAGATGCGTTCTCAAGTTTCGTACGGATACTTTGGTCGATCTTCCAAATACGTACAAGTACGAATCGCGGTACGGTCGAGACTAAGTGATAAGGAAGTAATGTCGTATGGCTCCAGAGTAAATCGGCTGATAAGGAGCATATAGACCCGAGTTCTAGTGTTAATAACTTGTGACGAATTGTGTCACCATGTTCCAGTAGTATTAGTAGCGGTAATGGTGGTGGTAGCGATGGTGGTGGTGGTGGTGGCGATGGTGGTGGTGGTGACGGCTACGTGCAGCAGTCTATGAATCCGGGGTTACTGCTCTCCCTTGAGCCGTGCTTCGTGGGTTGAGAAGCTTTCAGGCTTCCCGTGGAAGGCTGGAAACTGGTCTGTCGTCTAGATTGTGGGGATGTTATGTAAGCTGTAGTTGATCGACATAAACGCATACAAAGATCGTGCACGTAGGCGCACGTATACGAGGAGGAACTTCGATTCCTAGTTACGTGTTGTAAACGCGAGGTGTTCGAAGCCGCGACGTGATCCGGCAAGAGGATATTCAGTGACGAGAGTCGCGACGCGTCAGATGTAGCGATTAACACTTCAAATGCGCGCGAATAGTGTTCATTTTAATTAAACGTCAAAATTAAAAACGTATAAATTCTCAATCTTTCAGGTGATCGAGCTGCGTGCTCTAGCAGTGATCCTCGAAAACTAGCCGAGGACACTTTCTATCCATGGTTCAGCTTCGACGAGCTTTTGAGTTATGAGGAAGATGTCCGGTTGAGGACCGAAGACAGGGAGGAAGACGACGAAAAGGAGTTCGAAGAACGTCTAGTAATGTCTTCGGCTTCGACTAACAGACTGCAAATTTTGTGGGATCATTTCATTCATGCAGAACCGCAGAGCTACGAGGTACACGATTCCTGGATCTAGGAATTTCTATCGGCGATGATTCATATCTTTCCCTTTCCCTTTTCATTTGGCCAAAGTTATTTTAAAGATTCGAGTTCGATGAATTCATTTGCATGCCAAACATCGGACGAGATTCTAATTAGCTAGACTAACTTGCAACGATATCCATTTATTTCACCTTGACGTATATCCTCTCTCTTTGAGATCTTCCATCTAAATGCTAAGAGCTTAGCTAATGCATTATTTTTATTTGAATGCATTCATATTAACTTGTTGTCCTTTACTATGTGCTGTCAAGCAAGGTTTCGTAACCATTGTTAGTCATGGTAAAACACACACTTTACGTTCGTTCCAGGATGACTTACAAGTCACGCGTAACTTGCTTGTCGATATTTTGCCGCAAGTAGCGAAATAACGAGTAATCCTCTGTCTCATATAACGTAAACACATCGATTTCTTTCTCTTCGTACTTATTTAGTAGTCAAGTAACTAAAGAGAATTTGCATCAGACAAGAGCATAATATCAGAGTTCGTGTATTAATAATTGCATTCCTCTGATTAAAAATACGATTAAGAATGTTCGCTTCAATAGAAACTTAAAATAACACAATATCTTTCTTGCTGAGTGTGCCATTTGGCTACGATAGTAAAGCTATCGAATTATAAACTATATAAATTATTATTTTTGTGTTCTCAATTAAAATTATAATCTCATTAACTAAAATTCATAAAATGTTTATAATTTCTCCCACTAAATAAATTAAACAATGATAAATTAAATTTATTCACTTTCACTTGCAAAAGGTTAAATTATAGTGTGCAATAATTGTAATATAATTCATAAAGCGAAATTCATCAATCCTTATATTTTTAATCGGCAAACTGATTATTTTGACCATACATACCGCAGCATTATATGTATGATAATTATTTGACATTTTAAAAAGTAAAGAAAACAATATCTTTGTTTCTTTTTTCATCATACTTTATATCTATGTTATATTAGTTTCTTCGTTATATTAGCATCTCTGTCATAATGAGTTATTTTTCACATTACCCTATCAAATCTAGAATGGCACAGCGTTGCTAATAGTTAATTACTTATATTACGGACGATTAATTATTTATATTTATTTAGCTTATAACAATCGGCATTTAACATTGAAATTATACTTTCGATAATCTCTCGTTTCGTTTCTTTATTTTGACGGAATGAATTATCGTACGAATTATATGTTTTCTCTATTTAGAAATCACGCTGGCTGGATGTATTTCTCGCGGAATTCCTTGCCCAAATAAAAGAAGGTCAAGATGTAAAAGATGCCCTATCGTTTTGGTAAGATTACACACCACTTGATTGAATCACTGAATACAAAATGATAATTATTCAATTGTATTGTGTGTAATGGTAGTCGAGAAAACAGTTTCTAAAACAGTTGTAAATTTCTGAGGCTGTATCTAAAATTTTTTTTTTTCTAAAAATATTTGCTCCACCATTGAGTTTTATGTACATAATATCATTTCTTTCGAGGAATGACACAATGAAGTAATGAAATAGCAACACAGATTTTTGTGACAAGACAGCGGTCGTTGACCGCAATAGGAAAATATGATCTGATGCTTGTGGTTTCGACTAACGTGACTTTTTACGTTTGCATGCGATTCACTTTTATCCTAGTAGGTCCTCCGTCACTTTCTCGGATTATTACCTGCCGATTTTTTCCTTAATATTTAATATTCTACCAAAATGGGAATTACATGTTAGAAAAGAACTGCTCATATCACTATCTTGCACACAATCATTATCCTGTCATCGAAATTTTGCTGAAATTTCACTTACAAAACTTTCCTCGGAGATATCGCGTTTCTCACTGAAAATAAGATTACCAGCCCGAACGTTCAAACAATAATCATATCGAGGGTGATAATAAGTAGATAAGAGGCATTTAATCCGATGGATAAGATAGCAATATAAAAGGCGCAGTATGGAAATATCCATTACAGTTCGGTCGGCGGTGGTGGCGTATCTACCCTTATAGCTTGCGAGCTGCTCTCCGACGTGCATGAACTTTGCGCGAAGAGGATCGATGGCGACGAACTAGTTCGACTGAGGAAGTATTTGGCTCAGGAGCGTGGCTGGCGTTGTTTGGCTGTCCTACAGTTACTTGGTGTCCGTGGGCTTTCTTGTGGAAGAGAACTAGTAGCTCTGCTTATCGCTCTATATCCAGTTGTCCTTCAAGAGGAGACGAGTAATAAAGCTTGTGTAAATTCTGCTTCACTGCTGCACAACGGGTCCACGTATACTTCGTCGGCTGGTACCGCGCGTAATCCTTATGTGAAATTCCACTGCAACGATGATACCGTCGACACGGTAAATATCGTGCCGCATGTGAAACGCAGGACGACAAAGTCTAATCGAAACGGCGCTTTTTACGAGGGCAATGTACCGGCGAGAAGGAGGGCAGGTCGTCGATATAGTATCGGTACTAAGGTACCGGTCCATCAGAAGCAAAAGTCATCTGGAACGTTCGAAGCGCGTCGCAACACGCCGGAAAGCGCGAGCAGCGAGTCTGAATTACTGACGGATGGTATTGATCAGGCACGATCGCTCACGCTCAAGATCCGCCTGAATCCTATGGACTTCGAATATTTCACCTCAGTCGTGAGAAGCGACGAGGAGCAAAGATGGCAGGCAGCGCTTTACGAACTTCCTGTCCGATCGGTGAAGAAAACACCGAACGATTACACAGACGAGCGGATCAAGGATGTCCTAGATGCTAGGATCAGTAATTTCGAGACGAGCCTTTTGATTATTCAATTGCTTCAGGGGCTGCGTGATTACGGTACTCCAGCGGAACAAACACCGGCTGTACAAGTTCTGAAATTTGCTTTGGATACGTTATGGTCCCTGCAATTTGGTATAGACGGTGCCAACTTGACTGGCACTGAATCCGCTACGTTGAAGGCTGCGGCCGCTAGGCTTATGCTCACGGCACTGGAACGCGTATTACGATCAAATGAACCAACTACCGCCGTCATTCATAATGGTTTGTTGCCTATGACCCTGAGATTACTCGAAGATGCTTGCAGTAAACCTGTAAATGTTTTCTCGCCGGAGGAGGGTTCCCTCCTCCAAGAGTTCATCTTCGCCACTATTTACGGAGTGATAACATTTCTTTACTGTCTGCTGCATCAACAAGGTAGCAAGATAGAAAAGTTATCAGATTTTCTAGAACTGTTTCAACTGTTCACGGAAAGTCAGGACGGGAAGTTAGTGGAGAGAACGATTTTTGCGATTGTTGATCTACCAAGCATTGATCCAGCGAGGTCAATAATCCGCGCCAGAAAGGTCATTGATATGATAGGTGCGCTAACGAGTGGCTTGAAATCTGTTCGCCGTGATATTTCGCATGTATCTCATTGCAACAAAACAAAGCACAAATCCTGTGTCAATAACGTTCAAATCCAGCATCATTCGGATGTATTTGGAGCGCCTTATGCTCAGCCAATTGTTGGCGCCGTTATGAAACAAGCATGTTGCATTTCGTCGCTTTTTATGATACTCACTAATCTCCTCAAGTATTCTCATCCATTTGTCAGCGAACTGCAAATCAGATTGATCAAAGTTTTTACTGCGGCAGGAACGTGTTGCTGTTTCCCACCCAGAATACTCATGTCCAGCATCGCGACTCTTTTGAAAAAACGCGATCCGACGATTTATATCCCAGCCGTGGCATTCTTAGAGCGTATCTTTTACAAAGAGCTCGGTGCTTATTCGGAGTCAGAAGTGTGCACCACGTGCGACAGGCCTACCACATATTCATGGGATTTCCTGGAAATGTACGCGGACTTATTGTCGCCGAGTGATTCGAAATTATGCTACATCATAATGGCCCATTTACTGAAAATCGGGCCGTGCTCGAAACTCCACATTAGACGGGAATTGATTCTAAAAGTCTTTTATCCGACCTTTTTGAAAGCTAAAACCTATTACGCAGCTGACAAAGGGAACACGGTCGCGAAATTTCTCATTCAGTCTTGCCTCTCTGCAATGTCCTGCTTGATCATGAATGCGCAGATATGCGAAGAATTTATTGGGATCAATGGATTGGAAGAAACATTGATCTTGTTATCAGATACGATTTTCACGAGAAATGTTTACGCTCTCCTAGAAGTCACTGTCATCGTCGAGATCTGGAAGACCAGTTTCATGGATTCTCCAGATACGGAGAAACCGGCGCTCAAATCTTTGTTCGATTTCCTCGACAAAGAAACGACTGAATTGTTGGATATTCTGAGGAATTCAACACATACTTTTGTCGATGAAAAATACGTAGACCAAGCAGCGAGCCAAATTCCTGACGAATTGAACGGTCAGAATGTTGAAGGAACGGATATTATTGTGGGAAACGATACTCTGCAAGAACAGAATGAAACGGAAGAATTGATCAAGGAAATATCTGATAATTCTGAGGTTAATGCATCGTGCTCGGACGTTCATAACGAAACAGACACGAGTAGAAAAGTAAATCTATATCAAGCTAGTGCCGCGTGGAGAGCCGCAGCTGGAGTAGCGCTTTGCAGCCCTAAATTTCGAGCTCAATTATCGTTGCATCCCGTGTCACAAAAATCTTTACAGCTTTTTGTAACGCTGGCTACATATATTTCTTTGGACAATATTACAGGTATGTTTGTAAAGATATAGAACAGATTGTAATAACCAGATATAAAAATACTTGGATTCACATTTACATGTTTGTCTTCTTTTAGATACCAACAAATCAGCGCACAGACTCTTCGAGGCTTTGCTGACGTGCTGTTTAACATCCCCGTTGTGTAAGTAATTTTATGTAACGAATATGAATCATAGGTATTCCGAGTACGTCTCTATCCTACGTACTTTTTCGCCGCGTACAGTTGCGGATTAAAATCTCAATAAGCTACACGAATTTATTCGCCGTAGAAACAGTTCACAGAATGCTTGACATCAGTAAACATCTCGATCTATTTACTGTTCTTTCTACAAATTTCTTTTTCTACGAATAGTATTTTGTCATACGCACATATTATATATATACTTAAGCTGAGGTATATAAAACAATTTGTGATATAGGTGATTGCGATATAATTATGGAATTGGGAAGAGCGCTGATACACGCAGGAATCAAATTGGGTCGTGGATTGGCCGTCATCGTGGAAGCTTTATTGAAAGTCTCTATGTTAAAGCCAGCTCAAGAAGAAACCATGCCACAATGCACTCGCCCCAGGGTAATTTTCATTTTATTCCTTTTATTTCGAATTGAACTAATCTCATTAGTTCTACTGGTACCATTGTTCGTTATAGTTACCATCTATGACAGTCGACACAATGCCGGATTGTGTCGCTGATGACAGCAGCACGGGCGAATATGTAACAGCCGATGATGGTTATGAGGCAGATGTGGAAGTACCGATGCAAAATCCTCATAACAATACCGTGAAAAGAAGTAATTCCTTCGGACCAATAGTTGAGCCCAGGGGCCATGCGAATGCACATCCCGCATTATGCTTGTTGGCAGTTGATTTATTAATTCATTTCAGTGAACAGTAAGTCCTTGATTGTACAAAATATAGGAATATTGTATGAAAATATTGTATGAAATGTGATAAGATTATAATAAGTAATATTTCTTTTATAGAGGGTTGGATGCAGAGAAAACATGTATTATAACTGCTGGTCTAAGAAAAGTTGCAGTTACATGCAGAGAAAGTGCCTCGAGTTGCGCCGCACTTGCAAGTTCAGGTGTAATTACAAAAATGTTAAATGGTTTCAACGATATACTTACTACCAGAAATACCCAGTATCAAGGTATCTTTAATACGAACTATGTATTTAATATTCACAATATTTTAATCTCATTTATAACATTGTGTAATAAATTGTTATAGATTTGCAACACGCTGTGCTGGAAGTATTTACTTTGCTAGCGACACAATCGATTTCACCATCAGAATTAGTCATATACTTGTCTCTATTCAAAGTTGATGAACCTTCCTTGCAGCTGTTGTTGGAACCACTTTTTCATCTAGTTCTAGCAGCTCGTCCACAACCAAACTTTATCATATCTTTTCCTGTACTTTCTGATGCAAAATTAATATCAAAAACCCAATCGGAAGAATACAAAAACGTGGAAAAGATTGAAAATCTTGTAAATAATTTTCAAAAAAAACATTTTGCATCAAACATATGCAGTCCATGGTCTGTACACGCGGTATGTTTACCAATTGGTCCAGAACTGGCTTGGCCGGTTTGGTTGCATGGTTGTTCCGCTTCTATGTGGTTGAGAGTTGAAAGAGGATTATCTGTTAATGGCAAAGGAACAGTGATTAATACCTCACCATTACTTGATTCAGATAATGAAAGTTTATCTGATTGGGGTATTCTGTCTGATAATTGGAGTCGTGAAGGTTAGTAAAGTGATTTAATAAGAACTAATAATAATACTATATATATATATATATATAACTGTATATATAATAACTATATATAATATATATAATTATATAACCATATATGTATGTATATATATAGTTATTTCAACATTTTTTTCTAACGAGATTCTCTTCGCAAGTCCATCATAATTTTATCAAATGTAGCAATGTTTATTTTTTATCCAACGCATGCTCTACAAATTATCGTGGAAAGACCAATCGATGTCTGATCTTTTCTTGGGTACATCAGTCGTAACAGGTTCATCATTTCCACCCACGCCAGCATCAATTATTCATTTGATGTCTATCGGATTTGAGTCTCTGGTGCTTGAAACATGGTTGGATTTTAAATCAGGTAAATGATCTTAAAAAAGACTCTTAACTTTTTTTAGTACAATTGCTGTGTTTTATTCCTTTTCTTATATTTCAGATAAATTAATTTTACGATTAACTAGGCCAGACGACAAAGCAAATCGAACAATCTCGGAAACATCTCTAACTGGTATGCTTCCTTCCGGTCGATGGCATCATTTAGCACTGAATTTCAAAGACACAGTGTTAAATAAACGTAGTGCGGTAATCGAAGTTGTGATTTGGATAGATGGTTGGAGAGAAATCAATGCGCAGTTACCATTTGATGGATTGCTAATGAGAAAACCTAGCACTACGTGCGTTTTATTAGGGCAAATTGGATCTAATGCTATCGGTGCTTGGTATCTTGGAAACTTAATGGTATTCAGGTGCGTATTTTTATTTAATTAACAGTGATTTAACTATCGATTAATTATTATTGTTAAAAATTAATTTACAGATGCCCAGTATTCACGAAAGAGAGAGCATTATATCTAGCAAGTCTTGGACCTAATTATACTAATCTTGCTGAATGTATTTTAAACACAGAAAAGCCAGATTTTACGCAATTAATTATATCTGGTGCCTTAGATGGTGTACGAGAAATACGATTTGGTAAGTGCTATAATGTTTATGTTGCTATTTTTATGAGAGAAAACAAGAGAAAGAGAGAGACATTTTTCACTTAATATAGAAGGAGGAAAATTTGATACAAGTCGAAGGAAATCATATGGCGGGACGTATTTGCGACACGCTATTGAAACTAAAGTATCTGAAACTAAAATTGATTGGGATGTAATTATGGATGCTACAAATTCGCATTTGGGTGAACTACAAGATAATCTACTTCTTAATTACGAAGCTCAAAATCCTAATATTGTTCATTTATATCCTCAAGCTATTGCAAATTCAGCTGGTAAATTTATTACTTCGTAAATTTATATTATTTGGTGGTTGTTTATCGTTAGTTTCTTTGCATAAATATTACATATTCATTTTTAGCTGTAGTCAGAAATCTATTTCCGGGCCAACCAGGCTTTAGGGTTGTTTCTGCACCAGAACATAGAGTTTCACAGCAACCACCCTTATCTATGGCTCCGATACTTTCGGCTCGGTTAGAATGCCAACAGTACAGAGGAATTGTACCTGCTGCCATTTTAGTTGGTGGGGTACCTATATTTTTATATTTGTTTGCAAGAGTAAGTACGATTATACAAAAATAAATTTAGCGATATTTTTAATTTAAGTTTTTAATAAATTCTAATTAACATAAACTTATAATAACTTATTATAATTAAATGAATATATTCCATATAGGTAGTGGAATTAAACTCTAATGAGGAAGAGCAAGCATTAGCTCTTTCAATAGTTTTACACTTAATACGGAATGATTCTGATCTTCTAAATCAGTACCGATCAGAAGGTGGAACATCATTAATCCTACGCATTTTAGAATCGTCTCGATGCCACACAGGTAGACACATCCTAAAAGCAATGTTAGATGCAGCTTGTGATAGTTCGATCCTAATAAAAGATATCGGTAGTGGCAATCATTTGGTCTCACAAAATTGCGAAGCTGTTATTACGGATCCTGAATTAATCAAAGGTACATTAACCGCATGGAGGACATGGGCAAAACATGATACATTAAATTTGCTATTACAAGCATTGTTATTATTATTAAGAGATCAACATTCACAGCGTGAATTTAACGCATCTCAATTAAACAGAGTTGGAATCGTTGATACCATTTTAACATTATGCAAGGTAATTTTATATTTTTTGTAAATACTGTTTCATAAACGTATTGAGGAATTCATAGAGATATCTTATTGTTTATTATAGGAGCATTTTATGTATGAAGAATTGGGTGCTGTACTTGATTCTTCAACAGGAATAGCAGTGGTTGAATTGATTCGAGCACTTATGGGAGCACCTCCAGAATTTGCTCATTTAGTAGCTATTACCGACTATCTAGTTCTGGTTCATCAAGCGTCTGAAACTTATATCACACACTCGAGACATAATATATATTTTTTGTTACCCCCTATTGGAGAAAAAAAAGTTGTAAAACTTACTCCTACTATAACTTCCAGTTCTTCAGATGAATCCATAGAAACTCTTGAAAACAATAAATTGAGTAAAGGTTTAACAAATACACAGGTTGGTATTTGCTATCAAATGAATTGTAAAATAAGTAATAAAAATTAAAGTTAAATTAACATTATTTTCATTCAGATTCAGAAAAATAGAATGCCTAAGAGAAAAGAACGCCGAAATGGACCGCCACAAGATACCAGTGCTGGAGAGGATTCAGGAATTGCAGCTAGCGATGGATCTAATCCTCTTGGTAACGTAAGTATGAAATTAACTTCATTAATTAACATTCTCTATTACAAATCTTGATTTTTTTATGCAGGAAAAACAATCTATGTGGATGGATGAAAGAAAAGCTTGTCAAGGTTTAGTTTGTGAAGGACTATTATTATTACTCCGAGATGCAGTTAGAGTTTTACCTGATAGCCAAGTTGGATCAGTGTTAAAGCACGTTTTAAGAGCTGAACTTTTACTTGTACTGGCTAATAATCCTGATACTAGAGTTCGTACAGCATTAATTAAGGTATGACAATAGAGTATAAAAAAGGAAATAAGTTCTACTTTCATTCGAGTATTATAATATTTTATTAATTTATAGCTTGTACAAACGTACTTACAACGTGCTACTGATGAGGAAGTCAATAAATTTATAAAGCAAAAATATTTTGTACATTTAGCAAATCAAATAGCATTATATCCTGGAAGTGAGATGCTGATAGTTGCTTTAGAAAACTTGGCTTTACGGGGTCCTACTCTAGCCGCGATGCCTCCATTAATGGCTATAATAGCGAAAACAGCAATTACCGAACCAAATATAGTTAGACCAATAGTATCATTTATGACTGACATAATTGCAAAGGTATGGTATTATAATTTGGTTTCATTCATTAAAAAAAATTAATTAGAAAAATTTAATTCCAGAATCCAACAGCTCTAAGAATGCTTTTGGAACAAGGCTTGATTGAATCATTAGTGCAAGCATTAGTAGGAGCTGCTCATAAAGGTGGTTCTACATCCCTTTATCGAGATATTCATGTGCTTCTCGTGGCTATTGCGACAAGACTTCTAGAATCTCCAGGAACTCATCAAATGCAAGCTATTTTAGATTTGCATTTGATATTGAATCATATGGAATTGAAAGAAAAATCACAGTGCATTAAAAACAGAGCCTGTGTATCAGTCGTAAGAGATGCACAGGTAGCACTCTTTGATGGAGAACTCGATGTGCTTACAGCGAAAGTTTCGAATCAATCAGGTTTTCGACTACGTAGTACAGCGTCGTATCTAGCCTCAGCTTCTCACATAACTTCAAGTAATACCTGTACATCTGATGAATGTAAAAATGTTATCAGATTTTCTACATTACCCGTTTCATTCTTTTTTTTTTCTTTTTTTAGTTTTTACAACGTCCAGTGATCAAAGTGACCAAGGCTCTCGATCATCTAGCTATACAAATTTACATTCATCTTCCAACGCAATTTTACGTGAACCAGGCAAAGGAGAATTGCTGGAACGATTTCGCCTTGTTCTCACACGAGCTGTTGAATTTATAACAGCAGCTGATGAATCACCTTCTGGCAACGAGTTACAATTAACTAAAAGATTACTTTCAATTCTTTTACACGGTTTTTGTAGTCCATTGCAAAAGAGAAACTGGAGCAGTGCATGGTCAACTAGACACGTTTTAAGGAGATATACGGCCAAAATAATGATGTGGTTACTTGGGCCAGATCAAAGCAATAATACGAGGATTTTTGCTATCAGATCACTAATGGAAGAACCGAAAGCTCGCGAAATTCTATCTTCTCTTTTGGAAGTTCATCCACAAGTAAGTCTTTCAATTACTGTATATTTATTTCTATTTCATTATACGTGCTGTCAATTTCATTATACGTGCTGTCAATTTCATTATACGTATGTAATTTTTAATGTTTAATTTATGTTAGGTAGAACAGAAATTTACTGTGTTCTTTTGGGATCTTTTACAAAAACGAGATGATATGCCTAGCGCTGATGCAAGAATATGTATAGAATTAAAAGAAGCTTTGAATATATGGGATTTGGCAAAAGGAATAGAACAAGCTAGTCCTGGAATATGGAACGAAGAATTGGCATTGCTAAGACGAGAATTAATGAGAGATCGAGATATATGGATTGATAATAATCTTCCCTCAATTCAAAGGTAAGTAATATTGGATAGAATCTTATACTTCTTATTCCTTTATTTTACAAAATATTTTTCTTCTTCCATCAGATTTGCCAATAGATTTGATATACTTACTAAACAATTAACAGAAAGTGCAATGACTATAACACGTACGGTTGTGGAAGAACAAAATCGAGAACGAAAAGTATTAATGGAAAGACTGAAACATTCAAGAGCGATAGAAGCTCAAGCAATTGCTAAATGGAGAGATTTAGCGAAACGTTTAACGCATGAAAGGGCCCCATGGCATTTTCCAAACAGTTGTCCAAGAAGTTGGGAACTAGATCCTACGGAAGGTCCTGCTAGAGTTAGAATACGATTGCAACCGTGTCATTTAAATATTGATCGAAGGTTTTTCATGGCCGAATATCAAAACAAACTAGGTTTGATTGTTGTTGTCTTATGAACTATTTTTATTTAATTCATTTATATTTATAGATTTCACTTTTTAACAGATGCAGTGAAAGTTGAAGCTCCTTTATCTTATTTATTTACGAATAATCGACAAGATGCAAATGCTACAGCATTAATCGAGCGGTTGCACACTACTGAAAGAATACGTAAAATGTCTCAAGCCAAAGTAGTTACACCTAGAGCTGAATTAGCTGGTGAAGTTCTCATTGGTGAAACATGCCTTTACTTCGTGCCTGATAGTCCTGATGTTCTACTGCACACAGATGTACGATTCTGTTAATTTTTTGTCATACTATAAATTCATTGTATTATTCATACATATATCATACATATTATACATTCAATTAGATACATAATTATTACAGATAGCTTTAGGTGGTTTGGATTTAGCTATGGTGGGTGGAACAGCCTGGCGCCTTGAAGATATTCGAGAATTGCATAGAAGAAGATATCAATTACAGGAAAGAGCTATAGAAATATTTCTCATTACGGGAAGAACATATTTATTAGCATTCAATTCTTCAAAAGTATATATTATTTCAAAAAAATATATTTTTTTTTATTTTATATAATTCTTAACGATGGCACAATTCTTAATTTATAGGAAAGAGATGAATTTGTAACGGAATTGTCTGCTTGCAATTTACCGAGACGAATACCTGGTGATGATTTAAGCGAAGCTATTTCGTTATGGCGAAGTGGAGCATTAACAAATTGGGAATATATTACGTGTCTAAATAAATTAGCCGGTCGTTCATATAATGATTTAATGCAGTATCCTGTATTTCCATTTGTATTATCCGATTACACAAGTGAAAAGATTGATTTAACTAATCCAAAAATTTATCGGTAAGTACAATAAGAAACATATAAAGTACAATGATTAAGAAAATAATAATGATAAAATAATTTCTTGTAGAAACTTCAAACGCCCTATGGCTGTGCAGGATAAAAAGAATGAACAACACTATATAAACAATTACAATGTATGTGATTTATTTATTGACATGATACTATTTTTGTTGAGTATTGTTTATAATATTTTTTATCATTTTATACAGTATCTCAAACAAGCTTTATCGGAAGGTTTGAATTTAGTATCACTAAATCAAGAACCATTCCATTATGGATCACATTATAGTAATTCTGGAACAGTGCTTCACTTTTTAGTTCGATTACCGCCATTTACTAGCATGTTCTTATCTTATCAAGGTAAATATGTTATTTTTTAGATGTATGTACATAGTAATATTAAGACTTAGTTTCAATTTTATTTTACTTTTATTTTTGAAGATAATAATTTTGATATTCCTGATCGAACGTTTCATGCGTTGGCAACTACATGGAGATTAACTAGTTGCGATTCAACAACAGATGTGAAAGAATTAATTCCTGAGTTTTTCTATTTACCTGAATTTTTATTGAATTCCGAAGGTAGTATTATTAATTCTGACTCAAATTTGAATACTTAATTGATACTGACAAACATTTTTGTTGAAGGATTTAATTTTGGAATTCGACAAAATGGTAATCGGGTTGGAGATGTTGAATTACCGAAATGGTGTGATGGTGATGCACGACTTTTTATTCTTGCTCACAGAGCAGCATTAGAAGCAGATCTTGTTAGGGAAGTTCTACCTTATTGGATTGATTTGGTATTTGGATTTAGACAAACTGGTAGACCAGCAATAGAAGCTATAAATGTTTTCCATCCTGCAGTATGTTGAAACAAGCAACTTTTATGCAATTATGTTTAAAAATGTAACTTGAATTTACATGAATTTATATTTTTAGACCTACTATGGATTCAATGTTGAACAAATAATTGATCCTCTAGAACGTCAAGCGTGGGAAACAATGGTACGAACGTATGGCCAGACACCAGCACAATTATTCAAGGCTGCACATCCTTTGCCGATTCAAAATCTTGGAAATATGGGAGTTCATAGCTCATTACCGCAAGTCATTGAAAGTGTAGATGGTATAAAATGGGGAAACTATGTTGGTGCTCCTGGAAATGAACCAGTTTTATGTTGGAAACATAAACATAGAGCACCGTTAGCATCTTTAGTTCCTTTAATGACTGGTGATGTTTTCGGATTGCCTAATTATACTACTTTGTTACTTGGTTACATGAAAGAAAAGAGTACGTGTTATTAATTTTAAGCAAATATTTCAATAATTATATTTATAGAATTAAATTATATAGTGTTCCTTTTATATAACATTGTATAATATTCCATTATATGTTATATAATATTTAGGTGCAAGTATGCTAAGTGGAGCATCTGTATTGGGAGCTGCTTTAGTTTCATGGAGTGGCTCAGATGGAATTGTAAGACTGAAATTTAAAAAAGAGCAACCACTAAGGCCATTAATCAAATCTTCGGGTCTCGATCCAGTAAATAGACAAATTAGTATTTTAAATACGCTTTTAAGTATTTTTTCGAATTACATCTTTTTTTTTTTAGATCACAATCTTAGGTTCAACTCCGGATTGTGGACAACTGTGGATAGGTCATTTATCTGGTAGACTAACAGTATATACATATACAGTTGTAACAAGTAAAATTGACTTTACCTCAACATCGGCATCTGTTCTATTAGCTCATAGAAACAGAATAACAACAATAGCTCTATCACGAGCATTTAGTATTGTTGTTACAGGTGATTCAACTGGTGTCATCGTTATTTGGGACTTAAATAGGTAAGTATGCTACAAATAAATAAATAAAAGCCTGCATATAACTTCTAAAATTATTTGTTATCTTTTTATAGCTTAACATACATAAGATCGATATCCTGTGATAAAAATTATTCTATTCATTTGCTATCAATTAGTGAAACTCTCGGAGATATAGCAGTTGTTTATAAGATTCCTAGTGAAAATACATCTTCCAGCCAATCCGAATTGAAAGTATTTACTATAAATGCAAGAGCAGTTGGATCTATTTTATCAAGAGGAAGAATAACAGCTCTTTGCTATAGCAATGCACCAGAAGGAGTTTCTGTGAATGTTATTGCAACAGGATTAAACAATGGTGTAATAAGACTATGGAGTAGTTGGGACTTAAGACTAATTAGAGAAATTATAAATGATATAAAAGGATGTGGAGCAGTAATTGCGATAGCATGGGCTTTAGATCAACATCACTTATATGCTGTAACCGAAGATTATACTATTCTCATATGGGAAGGATCAAAACGTTTAAGTAATGGTACTCCAAAATTTGTAAACTTAACGTCCCTCTAATGTAAATAAACAAAGTCATGTTTCTATGGGCACGAACATGTTATTTTAAATATTATTAAATATATGCCTCCATTTTATTAATAAGTATTTACAAAATAAAAAATGTTTTTAACATTTGTAATTATATTAGTGTTACATTTGTGATAATTTTATATAATTAGAATCATATCAAACATATACATTCTTACAGCTTTAAAATATTATCACATAAACATTACATTTGTAACTATTAGATAAAAATCTATCTGTTGAAGTATTATTTTCTTAAAATTTTTATTACAATTTTTTATGCTTCTAATAATATATCAACATCTATATTTTTATATTCTGTTACAATAAAAGAAATACAGATTTCGTTATTAACATATTTATAATTGTATTAATATCATTGATACACTTACAACCTCCAGTTCCCAATTTCATAAATGTAAATTGATATAACATATTTATGATATCGTAACATAGACATATCTAATAAACATCAATAAGCAATAGATTCAAATAATATTCAAGCAGTCTTCAATAATCTCAAACATCGGGTAATACTTTCCTGTTCTTTTAGCAATCTGTTCTGCTGTATCACCACTTGAATTTATCAATCTCGGATTTGTATCTGGATGCAACAAAAGAAGTTGCAAAGTGGGAGAATTATGAGAACTTGCAGATACTAAATGCAAAGGTGTCTGGTCTCCTTTACTCTTGGCATTTATATCTGCTCCATTTGCAATTAATACCGCTGCACATTCAACATTGTTCCAGCAACATGCAGAATGCAATGGTTGCCATTCGTCCATGGTTTTAGCATCTATCTTTGCACCTGCTTGAAGTAAATACTATAGACATAAAAATGAAACCGTATTTATTCACGAGCTCTCATTTTGAAGAACAAGCTATCATTTTAAGTATAATATTCTTACCTCAACAATTTCCACATGATTACCATAACATGCTCTATGCAATGGAGTGTAACCATCCTTGTCCATACATTCTAACAAACGAGGGTTTTTCGTTAATGATCTCATCACTCTATTCAATTCGCCATTCTCTGCTGCGCTAAGAATTTCTTTTGCATCGGGTTCTGTAGAAAGAAATACATGTGTTAGAAAATTGCAACATACTATTTGAAAGCATTAGCTAACCTTTCGCATTACGTTCAGCTTCTACCCCATCATCGTCATCTTCCCAAGCACTAACTTGCATATGTTCACTCCGTGGTTGACTTAGCATTCGATCACGAATTGCTTCCAAATCCGTTAATTGATCACTTTCTTCTTCGGACGATGACATGTTTATCTCATTCAAGATTCAAAAAACGAAATCACGCGTATTTCTTATATCTCATTCTCGTTCAACAGACATTACACGGATCCATCTACTGGAATACAAAGATACTGCTTGCACATGAATTGAATTTGATCAGTTTCCCGAGATGCGAAAATTATTTTACATTCTCGATTGTTTTGAAAATGTTTCCAGATGAATTTGTGACTTCAATACGATACGTAAAACAACATGGAATGTTTGAAACTTTTGGAGACTCTAGATATTTTTGGTTATGCTGGTGTATGTGTGGGCGTAGAAAACTCGCAATTGTTACGAAATTCTCTCATAGTACTGCAAGAGGAGAATCACTTTCAAAAGTGTTACTATTGGGGCAAAATCTACGGAGTACAAAATGATTATCATATTGCGTTTGGTTTTAAGAAAGACTGCATGAACGATCAAGTGTATTACTACAGGTAAGCTTGTTAAAACGATTCGAAAACAGAGGGCATTAAAAACGTACAATATTTGAATTAGTACGGACGGATTAAATTGGTTATTACTGCCAAGAGCGAATAAATACGCACGATTCTTGACACCCCTTGCAATTAATAAGTTCGAAGGTGATCCCTCGATAGTCACCAACGTCTATAACATTAATCCCCCATTCCCGCCAAACGAAGATTCCAAAAAGTATTATGACGTAAGTCAACACAGTTGCTAATTTTTCAAATTAATAAGAGAAAAATGCTTAAAGATTAATGATTGTTGGTATGTTAGGGTCCTATACCAAAAGAATTAAAAGAAGAAGATAGACTGGCAGCTACAATAGAAATAATTAGAGAAGACGCAGTCATAATTCCTCGTGGCGCGTGGTTCAAATGTCCCAATGGGGACGTGATTGAAAATTCAAATTTTGAAGGACTCGGTATCTCAGATGTGTCGTATTTGAAGTCTTACTTGCATGCACGTCCACCACAACAAAAGTGGAACACCAATTTACTTACGAGACCTGATTATAACTATGCTTTAGATTTTTTAGATACAATCGATATGGACGTGCCATCAGGTATTGGAATAAAAATTTTTTCAACAACGATCTCAAAATGTTGCTGTTTCTTTGGATAATATAATATTTCCTGTTAGGATGTTGGAATCTACAACTTTTACATGGTGAACATTTAGTGATCTTACATAGTCTTTATTGGCCTGGCATGACGTTTTATCATAAACTGCATAGTCCGCATTATGGATTTCTTTATTTTGGACACGGAAAGAAAAACATGGATGTCATCTTCATGGTGTAATCATTGTTGTAATAATAAGAAGCTAACGAATTTAAATTGTCATGTTTCTCTTTTTTTTCCTCTTTAACTGTGGATTCGTTCGTTCCCCTTTTGTTTTCTATAACAATTGAATGTCCGTGATCGCTACATTTGATATCAAATATTTTACATGTAATTTATGGTTACGATAATTTATAAGTTTCATAAGTTTACAAGTAACAACAATTCCAAACATGATTTCTATCGAGGGAATGTTTGTTAATGAAAATGTTCAGCGTCTTGAGTTGTAACGCGCGAGTCGTCGATGCAAGGTTATGAATGCTTTCATATTTATTTCATATCACGTTGGCATGACAGTGTACGTAATTCACAAAGTTTCATGGTTATAATAAGTTTCTAAAAATAAACAGCCGCCCGTCGTTTAAATTAACTGTCCATCGCTATTTCTATTTCATACAAATAAGAATTAAAATAGAAATTTAATCGCCGCCTTGTGAACGAGCTTTGTGGGTACATAACCTAGTTGGCCGCTCAGAGCACAAGATGGCAGCAGTATCTCGCTCGAGGTTGGCGGATTTGAACGCACAAGCGCAGTGACCGGCATACTCGAGTGAAGTGTTGTTTGCAAGTGCTAGCGATCCGTACTCCAGACAGATTTCTTCAGGATATTTCACTGTGTACCGGTAAGTGAGAATGTTTCTACAATTTTTACCGTGTCTTGTTCGCCGATGAATAGGTTTTCGTCGGTTAATTCGCTTTACTTCGACCTTGAATTGGAAGTTTGGCATACGGCGTGATGCCGGGTGACGCCGGTTCTATGAAAACGTATTTTACAGCACGTGGATCGCGTGGCGTTCGTTCTGTGAACGAATTAAATCGAAATTTGCTCCGTTGCGTTCTGAAACATCTTTGATTTTTAGCGATCTGTCGCGGTATAGGTATATTTTTTCTCGTTGACAAGCAGCGTCAAATTTCTGTCGGCTTTTGCAGGAATTACGCGTCTTCTGACATTAACCGAATCTGTCTGTGGCTCGCTCCGTAACCGAAAGCTATCGAAACGGATACAAAGCGATATATCCGGGTCGATATTAAACCCCTCGAGACGGACCGAAATCGTTGATCGAAACGAAATCTCGACTTCTTGAGTCGTTGTTCGCTGTTTCGTTCGTTCGACATTGCTATGTCAGTTACGCACGCATTTCCCTCTCGAAACTCGTACTAGAGAAATTACCGTGTTAAAATCAATAAAAGATTCTTTGAAACGTGGCACGATATTGTAAGCGATACAATACGACTTCTGCCGTACATCGTAATTGGTATTTGTATTTTTATTTCGCAATCTTAATACGTGTAATATATAACGCGAAGTTGCTCGATTCAAGGTTAGCTAGGTCAACGAAAGTTACGAAGTTGCCGTTGTTGAAAAGACAGCTTCTTTCTTGAGTCAGTTATACACTATTGAGGTAAATTCACCAGTCGCCGGTGTGTATCGTGATTGTTCGTCGAGATTCGAAAATTGTAGCTAACCATCGCCGCTTCTCTCGAATGTAAATACTGTCAATAGGAAATTGTGTGATCCATTCTTGTTCGGTGCATGCAACTAATCGTAAAGTAGGCGATACCACTTAGATATCGGCACTACTCGGTGAATTAGAAGATCGGTGGATAGCGTTTATGAGAATGCGATAGACCGTAAAGTTGCTGATGCAAGATCGCGTGTACTCACGATGTTCAATAGAATTTCACGGGAAATGCCTGTTATCAATCGTTGGATTCCGGCGATTTTTGATTGAATCTCCGCGGTTTTGAAAAGCCTTGGTTGGCTGGTACGCGAGATGCGTGTGCCACCGTCTCCTTTCGACGCAGAGATTCATTTTTGTGCGACGAAAGAAATCAATGACGGAGCCGATAACCTCACTCCGCGCGTCGCGCACCTCCCAATGACTCTCTTTTATCTGATTCATATGCACGGCCGTACATGTGCAATCGTGTAGTCAATTCCGAGCACGGACCACGGAGTTCCGGTTCCTATTCCAGTAGTATCCTCTCCCTACTGCCGGTGTACACCTTCTTTTTTCTCGACGACGACTTTCGTGTCGCTGTGCTGAGACGTTCTTTCTTCCATCCGTCCACTCGGGATCGCAAGCGAGCTCGTAGTAACGACAAAGCTATTAAACTATGAAATTTACAATGTCGCGTAAATTTTTCCCTCGAGTCATCTGTTTTATGGCTGCGCGCTTAAAACTTGACTGTTTGCATTGAATAGTACTTACGTATTGGATACTGATACTTTTTTACTCCAAATTAAATTCTTTTACGGATATTCACTTTTTTTTTTGGTACTATAAATTAACCCTTTCACGAATCAAATTCTTCGACAAATTTATTTTCTTAAGGCATTGTTAATAAAAATGAAATCTGATGTAGTGTTATTACTCCGAAATAAAAATTCTACTGTATGTATAATAATAATAATATATAATAATGTATAATAATAATATATAAAACAAAAGTAATAAAATTAACGTAAAATATTGTAGATTCATCTACGATAGTTCACCTGATGTTTAGTTTTGTATGCATATCCATACCTACATAATACATTTTTTACATGGTTGTAACAGAATGATTAATAACGTCCACTAAATGTCCATAGTTTGAAGGCTCAGCCAAAATATTTCTTATGCAGAATTTAATTTTTGAAAAAACTTCAATGGGATTGATCGTGATGGTAGAAATAATAGTCACTTTTGAGTCACCCGCACGATTGAATTTCATTTGCAATAAGGTAACTTTTATTTGCAAACAGATGAATATGCTCTGTAAAAGGGTTAATTTATATTGCAAAAGTTGTAACATGCGACTACGAAAATTGTCCAAAATGTTACATTCGTCTTTTTTTCCCCCATTGGAAATTTTCGAAATCAATTAATTCGGGATAGATTCGAAATTAAAATGAAGATTCAGTTCATCAGATGTTTCCTCCGTCTGTGATAATTGGTACATACATTATCCTTTAACTGGCAATAATCGGAAAACTCCAGCGTACAGGATGGAATAAAATTTCGTATTCCGGGGCTTGCGAGTTCCGAGCACGACCGAGTCAGGTTCGGCGATTATGGTTTTACGCGGAATGGAAGGTTGGCTCGCGCCGAATTCTTCTGATTGTTGCTCGCGGCGAGTTCGATTGGATGTATCGAGTGGTCGGTTATCGACCCCTCTCGATACGGTTTGTCGCTTCTTTTTAATAGTTGAACGCGATCGAGGAGTAACGGGAGTTTAGAGTAAACCCCGTGGAAAAAAAGCTCGTGGAAACGTCACGGCATTGACTTTCTTTGTTCCACCAGCGTAAATCTTGGTGTTTCCACGGTTTACGTTTCGAGATCTGTCCACAGCTAAACGTTGTAGAAAGAACAACGAAACATTGCGTAGCGACATACGTACTACGTATAGTGTGCGTAACCAAGGAAAACGGAAACGGTGGACTAGGAAAACTCGAGGTAACCATCGTGTACGTGCAATTTGCTGTCCGGTGAATTTGTGAGAATTGAACGCTGTTGGTAGAGCCGTGTAATTAAGTATCAGATATATACGTGTCAAATACGGCTCTCGAATGACTCATTAACCGTTCAAGTTAACCGAGTCGCCTTCTTTTATACCAGTTATACGGCCGTATTATCGATCATGGAACGATCGTATCTCGAGCAGTAATTCTCAACCATTGTTACGCGATAAAAACACTATTCAATTCTAGTTTCTTTTGTTTTGCATTATCGTCGATACTAGTCCTTCTTCGTCCCCCTCTCCCTCTCCCTTTTCTCCTCGTTCTCTCGTTTCGTTCTTATTAAATGTAGCCGCCTTCGAACCGGAGCCGTTCCGAATCGTTCTGCCGATTCGATTTTGGCGCGATTAGGCCGGCGCGCGAGCGTTTCCCGCAAAATGGTGCGTGAGAGGGACACAGTGGTTCTCACGGTGTTCAATCGCGGCAATTAGATCGAATTGGAAAGCGTGATGAAGGGCTATAAGTGCGTGAGAACCGTCCGTTTAAGGCGCGAGAACTGGTTCTGGGATCTTCTTTTCTCAAGGCCCTCTCCTCGATGTTAAACACGGCGGAGATGTTACGAGCTCCTTCGACTGCCTGAAATTAAACGTCGAGGACAAGGAGCCCCGTGGCCCGTCTTTTCTCGAACCTCCCTTCGTCCATTTCGAACCTCCGACCATTGCTGCCGCAACCACATCGCCTCGTTTTCCTCTTTATTCCTCCAAAGTCCTCTCTCCGCTTTCTGTTTCACCTCTCTTTCTCTTCATTCGCTTTGTTTCTTCTTCGTCTTCTTCCTCGTCTTCTTCCTCGTCTCCTTCGCCGGCTGGCTACCTGGCCAACGAACGTTACGAAACGTTCCGATCGTTTTAGATTCCAGTTGGAATTTCAACG